GGTATTTTGGTCAATTTATTTCATGTAAATTTTTTTTTGATATTTTTCGTAGATTTTCCTTATTTTTGAAGAACACACGCCTAAAATTTCAAGTGATTTGGATTTGTAGAAAAAAAAACTAAAATTCAAATACTATCGGACATCCGTGATCTTCAGATCGGCCCAGATTCAATCTGGACCGTGGGTGTTTACTGTAGCAGTACGCACCTGGGCGCACAGGATCTTTTCCCTTTATATATATATTAGCCTACCCCAAATCATTGGGATAAGGCTTGGATGAGGTTGTTATCATATTGCCTCTCACCTGCCTCTCTCTATCTCTCTATCTCTCTCTCCCTGCAGGAATGTCTTGCTAGATGATTCAGGACACCTTAAGGTTACAGATTTTGGTCTAAGCAAGATAGCCCAAGAAAAGCGTTCGCTTGGCTCATACAAGATGACAGGAGGGACTGGGTCATGTGAGGTCTTCCATCAATTCAAAATGTGTTTTGATTTAACTGAAAGTGTTTTTTTACTCAATTGTTATGTTCCCTTTTCTAATGTAAGTTCTATTTCACCAATCAATTATTAGTGACATTGCTATGTCAGTTTGACCTGTTTACTTTTGCATCTTCCTGTGTCTTACCTGACCTATTTTTGCAGATCGTTATATGGCACCTGAAGTTTATCGCCGGGAATCATATGGAAAAAGTGTTGATGTCTTCTCCTTTGCCTTAATTCTACATGAGGTACTCTATAGATCTCAAAAATACAAAGAAGTTCAACACATGCAAGTGATCCTGGGACAACTGCAGTTTGCAGCCATGAGAGCATTCTTGACGCTGTCAGATCCACACGTTTTTAATAAATTACCACTTTCTTCTTCTAGAACTACATGTTTGATGTGGTTTGTTTATGCAGTTGTTTCAAGGGGGGCCCTCAAACATGTCTGAACCACCAGAGGCAATTGCAGATAAGCGAGCATATGAGCATTCACGACCATCTCTCTCAGCGCTCTTCTACCCAGAAGACATTAAGTCGTAAGTATTCCTTGTTTATGAACCTTAAACTTGAAATATATAGTGTCAACTCTATCCCTAATTTTGGCATACACTCAAGCATGTGCCCATACGCGACTGCATTTGCATTGTATGGATGCATGTGGTCATTCATACACTTGTGATTACATTCACATAATATAGATTGATTCATGTGGTGATGCATGTTTGAATTCATGCATATGTTATGCATGTGCCATGGAGGACTGTGATCCATGCTCAATACAAATAGGCTTGCTATCCGCATGTGACTGCATCTGCATGATGTTGATGCATGAGCTCATGCATGTGTATGGGATTGCTCGCAAACAGGATACATACATGTGCTCATAAACATGGCAATGCATGAATGTGGTATAGATACAGAGTGTTAGATACATACATATAATCATATTGTATATCATGTGTTTTTATCTCTGCCATGCACATACTATATATCATGTGGACATGCACCTACTTTACATTTTATTTTTTGTAATTTTAAGAAGCGTGAATAAATTTTTTGTTATTGATTGAGAAAGAAAAGAAAGGCAAGCACTTGCATGTGAGTTTGTGTGTTTGTGCTCATAATACTTTGAGCATGAGTCCTATTCACATGCATAGATGCACAAGCCCCATATATCCATTGATACATGGCATAAGCATGCCCTGCTATTCCATACATGTTGTGGATACTGATGGATTGTCCAGATCTCATGGCCACACAAAGTGCAAGGTCAAATTGGATTGCATACTATGGGCTGTCAGCCTTGAATAAACTCCCAAATACCAATTAACATATGTCATTAAATGCAAGCCAGAAAAATGGCAAAACCTCCAATTCCACCTGATACTGTTATGATTATGATGGCTCTTTTTTTTTTGGGGGTGACGAATTTGCTCTTGCATCCAACCAGGCTTTTAAGGCAATGTTGGCATAAGAACCCCAATCTGCGGCCCTCCTTTGAGACTATCATCACCCAGTTGGAGGCAATTCAAGACTGTCAAAAAAGAAAGGCTAAAGCCATGGGCAAGTGTGCATCAGCATCATGTTGTGTTATATTATAGTCCTCTGGACTTTCTATTAAAAGTTGTGGTTAGGTTCTTTTTGGCTGTGTTGCCTCTAGTAGATGGAAACAAGGAGCCGGGAAAAAAAAAACCGATAAGAAAGAGTAGATCAGCCTGGTTTGGCTATGGTGCAAACTACAAAGGTTGATTGTTTCGCCTCCCTCTTGTAGACATGGCATCTTATGACTAAGCCAAAGCTTGAGGGACAGGATATGATGATGATTGGGTTTGATAAGAAGCCTGAAAGGGACATTGTTCCAGAACCAGTTTGTGGTCGTTTTGGCCAATTTGTATGTATTTGGAGCATCAATGGCATTTTGGCCACCTTAAGTGGGGCTACTAATATTTTTCGAGAGTGACCGAACCATGTTTGGGTTAATACTTGTTTCCTTTTTCACATGGAAAGGAATTGGGGTTGCAAAACTTGGGAGTGATACATTGTCCCAAGTTCTGATTATTAATATTATATTGGTGGATTGGTTGGAATTCCATCCTTAATTCATAGTTTTTTATTTTCTTCTTTTTTGAAATGAGGAAAACATACTATGTTCCACATTACCATAGAAAATTTGTATGGTTATGTATTGTATTACCTTCCGAAATATGGATGGTTGTGATGAGGGTCTGGAAACCATGAATTTTGTCAATTCATTTTTTGGTGGGACTGTTCATCCTTTGATTGGATGGTGATGACACCTACGACCATATAATGTCATCATAGTATGCTTTCCCTTGAAATGGATGGTTAGGAATAACAAGATTATGCCTTGCTGTCCAAAAAAAAGTGCCCCACCTTTGAGAACCTTGCTTCCGGCAACCAAAATTTTTCATTCTTTTTCCTTTGTTTTTGGGTGAATAAGTGGAGATGATGTGGCCCGACCCGTAAAGGGGTACAACACAAGGACTTCCCAGGAGGCCACTCATCCTAGTACTACTTGTGCCGAGGCCGACTTAACTTTGGAGTTTTGAAGTATAGATTTTTCATTGTTACTTCATCATAACTCCTTCATGGGGTCAGAGGGAGATCAACCCTATTAAAAAGAAATAAGTAGTAACAATTGATTCGATAAAACCAACCATAGAAAAAAAACGATCACTGGATTTAAAGCGGAAGCTGGTATGCTAGAGTTTATAATAATTTGAAGGAAGAAAATAACAGAGCTCAAATGGTTGAGTTCGAGTTTATAATAATTTGAAGGAAGAAAATAACAGAGCTCGAATGGTTGAGTTCATTGCCAGCACTGTTTTGCTTTTCAGTTTATCTAAATGAATCTGTACTACATATTTGGAATGAAACTCAACCAGATGAACACAGAAGAATCACATCCAAATCAAAAGAACAAAATGAGTATCATCCTTGCATAATTATAGGGGGGAAATGAACAAGAGCATATTACCGAAAAGTCAAAAATAACTTCAAATAAAGCAAATAAAGCTATACTTTAGAGTAAGGAACTAACCCAAAAGATTCACATCATGTAATTATAGGCCAATGAAGAAACAACAAAAATTGGGGGTGAAAGAAAGAGATTATCTACAAAGAAAACATTTATCGCTTGTACAAGGAGGTCACAATCATTCTTGGCCCTTAAATTTCAAAATGGGTGGTCGTCAGAATGTCATTGAATAGACAAAGGGCCAAAAATTTTTTCTCAAATTTTGTGATTTACTCTAAACCATCTAATTTGACGTCTATGAGTGGGAATAGTTGTGACTTCATTGTACAAAAGATAAATGGTCTTTTTATAGACAATCCCTATAAGAAATGGTGAACAAATGCAAGATTTAGCATAATAAGGGGAGAAATGGAGGGTCACTCATCAAAAGGACATGCAAAGGAGAGAAGGGAGTGCGGTCACAATGCAGCTAGGGCCAGGAGTAACTATAATTTTTTCAAAAAAGTTAAAACATAAAAAGTTTTAAAAACTTATAATTAGGCTTTTCTAAACTAACTATGCTTTTGTGGGTTTTATATTGCAAAAAGTTTAGTATACCTCATATATCTTCTAGAAGAAAATGTTCCAATGGAAAACCCCTAATTGATTATATTCACTTCGACGATGTGTGGATATGAAGAAAGAAAAAGAAGTGTGTGGTTTATATAAGGTTGAGGTCTTAAACAATCAAAGTAAGGCGCACCTTGAAATAGTATCAAAAGATGTTATTTTAGCACTGAATGTCTTTGTGATGGCCTGAAATTTTATTTTCATCTTTAATTATAAAATTTGAAGCTTAAACAATAGCGTAGATCGAGTAGATTTGTGAACACTTCGTAAACTTGAAAATTAACAGTCCAGATAATACATTACAAGATGAACCATTTCCAAGAGTTGAAAATCCATTTTTTCTTATGTACATACATCTTGAGATCGAGATGATTGATTTTAAGGATTTTTTGGATCAAAACAACCTAGTGAATTTGTGAGGTGCACCTTAATTTGATTGTTCTGGACTTCACCCTACATAAAGTTTTTTCAAAAAAGTATTTCTAGGTAAAAAAAATAGTCAATCTTGCAACAAGTTATTTGGACAGTCTATTTTCAAGATTTTCAAATCTTTATAAATCGACTCTAACTTGTACAATTTATAAAAGTTTAAATTCCATAAATAGAAATAAAAACAAATTTTCAAGCCAAGATTCGTGCATCAAAATTATATCTTAAGTGAAATTTTGAAGGTGCGCCTTACTTATATATGGAACGAGGGTGCCTCAAATATAACTATTCATTCAGCTTACCCCTCACCTTAGCTTTCCTAACAACTTTTTCTCAAAAACTATGTTTTCCAGCAAATACCCCCCAATACAAAAAGTGAATTTTTTTTGATGAAGATTCCCTTCATGTATTTTAAAAAGTCATTTTCGGGTCCAATAAAACGAAATTAATGGATCGAAATTGTTTGACGCCGGAATGCCCCTCCAATAGAACAAATCCCCAGACCGCAATAAACGAATGCCGGACTTGCCTCCCTAACTGCCGGACTGCCATCAGACTGGAGCAGTTCCAGTGACATAAACCCCGGACGACACCTTAAACATGCCGGATTGACCTCTCAAAATGTTGGACTGACCCTTAGAATGCCGGACCGGGGCAGTTCTAGTGAGATGAAACTCCGAACCGCCCCATAAAAATGTCGGATTGCCCTTCCCCAATGCCGAACCACAATATACGAATGCTGGACTTCCCCCTCAGAACGCCGGACAGGGCAGTTTCAGTGACATAAATACCGGACTGCACATTAAACATGTTGGACTGACCTCCCAAAATGTCGGACTGACCCTCACAACGTCGGACCGAGGCAGTTCCAGTGGGATGAAATGCTAGAGTGCCCCATGAAAATGCCGGATTGCCCTTCCTAATCGCTGGACTGCAGTATACGAATGTTAGATTGGTAACAGCGGGTAAATCATGAAAAGAGAGAGAGCGCTAATGAAGAGAAAGAACGAGAGTAGAAATAAGTGGGTAAATTGTGAAGAGAGAGAGCGTCAGTGAAGAGAGAGCAAGAGTTGAAATAGGTGGGTAAGTCATGAAGAGAGAGTGTCAGTGGAGAGAGAGAGCGAGAGTAGACATAGGTTCGTGGTAAAGGAGGGGTAAGTATTGCCTTAGATTTCATTTTTTTTAGGTAGGGGGTATTTGCTAGTAAATATGGATTTAAAAAAAAGAAGTAGTGAAAAAAGTTTAGATGGGGTAATTTGAATGAATAGTTGATTTTGGTTGGGTTTATGTAATTTTTCCGTTATATTTCAAAGTTCAAACTCGAGACCATATAGCATCACTGGGTCTAGGATTGACAAGAGAGAACGTCACTTCAATACAGTGTGGTTACAAATCACAATCCGTCAGATAAAAAATCGGACGGCTGAGGAGTGTCATCTCTTCTGAGCACACCTTCCTATGTTACTTACTCAGATTTACAGAGTGAGAGAGAGAGAAGCGTATCAGCATTCGGGAAACTTTTGCTTATTCAGATTAGAGAGAGAGAGAAGCGTTTTAGCATTGGGGAAACTTTTGAGGCGTCTAGGTCGCCATTGATTGAGCTTGAGAAGCTCGTGTACGTATTGATCATCTCTTCCCTTTCTGGGTTCTGCTTCTCTATCTCTTGTTCTAGAGTTCATAAATCCAAATCCTATCTTTAACAATAAAAAATTGTCAAAAAATAATAATCTAGATCCAATATTTTTCTTTCATGAATCTCGCTCTCTGTAACTCCTCTTAATAATGCTCCCTACGCAATTTTTGGTCTGAAAAGCCTCTCATTTGTTTCATTTTGATTTCTGTTATTGTTGTTGTTAGTAGATTAGTATTTAGAAGTTCGTGTCAGAGGATTTTGTTAAGAGAAATGTAGAAATGGGGCCAATATTTGATATTGGTTTAAAGAAAAAGAAAGAGAAAAAGATTGGTTTGCTTATTTGGATAATTTGGGTTCGTTGGGTTCAAGGGTTTTATTTATATCTTATAGCTTCCAGACATTGCTACAATGGAAATTAGGCTTTTTTTGGATTATGAATTAAATATTTAATTATAATAGCTCTGATGTTTCAGGATTGCAGATCCTAATTTCCTTCTTCGAATTTAATACAATTGATATCAAGGTTTCTTATGAAAATAAGTACTTTGTGTTTGATATTTATAATTTTTGTTCTGAACTCCCCGAACAGTGGTTGATGTGTAAAGCAAGAAAACAATGTATAAACATGATCTTTCTAGTCGTCCATTATTGGAGTAGACAATTTATAGCTAAGTTTTGATGAATTCTACACTTGGGGTTCATGGCTTTTAGGAAATTTCTACAATGTAGGCTTTCCATGTAAACGTGAGAATGATTAATGTAGTATAGCATTCTGGTGTTTTTTCATTTTTGATATAAATGCATTCACGTAATGTAGCATGAGAGTTTAGAGCAATGCACTAGTTATGAGTGACTTTGACATCATATATTTAAGTCAACTGCATTTCTCGAAACTTGGAAGAATAAAATGCTAATCAAGTTCTTAAGGTTTTAAGCAATTGACATCATAGTTTATGGGGTGACATTTTCCCAGATGGCAAAGATGACTGGGTATAATCGATGGTCATTGCTTTTACTACTATTGGATTATACATAATTTTAGATGGGTGTGGAAAAACATAATTTTCATTGAGACACATATGCATATGTTTATATAAATACATTTGAGCATGCTAACTCAACCAATACATGAAGAAACTGATCTAATTGGCTTGCTTCATATCCATAGAATTTGGAAATTTTCTTAGTACCAAGCTTTCCACCTAGCACTTCCCCAAGAAATTGAGTTCATGACCTTGCTTCGTGTATATGGAGAAGCTTTCTAGCTAGCAAGCTATAGGTAAGACCAAGGCTAGTAAGTTGCCTACTGTTCTGATTCTTGCAAGGCCTGGCGAAATCTTTAGTTGAGCCCTCTAACAATGGAATTAAGAACCCATTTTTCCATTGTGATCAATATGCATAGATTTATATGATCATGATGTAACTTCTTCTAATCAAATCCACGAGTGTGGTCCCATGTAGAATCCAAGGAGTTGCAAACACAGTTAGAGTATATTAGTTGGACAATAAGATTAACTTGGAGTATTTATATGATTCTATGATGTTTATATGTGTTTCCATTTGGAATTACTTCATCATTAGATGATGCATCTGATATCTGGAGGATGATAATACAGAGACCAACACGGTTGCCACTGAGGAAATTGATAGAGATGTTCTATTTCATGACTCATGAGGATCACCCCCCCTACTATCTTGATGGTGTTTCTTGCCCCACTTTTCTTATTTCACATGCGGCATAATTTATAAATTTTGCTTAGAATTTAATGAATATTCTTTTTAAAAGAGGTAGACCGAATGACATATTGATCTAAGATGATTACTCTTCTATTGTACTCAGTACCTATGGATATCCTAAATTAGTTGTAGTTAAAGGTTCTTGTACATGTGCCTTTTTTTTTCTTTTTATTTCTTTTGATGGATAACTGCTTACGTAGGAGGTTTATGGCAATAGACATTCATAATGCACATTGATATATTGTTAATATTTATGACCAACTTAGGGATCTGGATCTGAGGAATGGTGACCATTCTGGTGGCCTTGGTTTTGGGAGTGTTGTTGGGAGCTGTTTTCCTTATCCCACGTGTTATCAAGCCTGGTAGCTTCCTCCCTCAGTTTCCCAAGTTTCCTATAAAATGTTAATTACATATTTGGTCCTTTGATGGCAATTTTCTTTGATTGCAAGTACTGTTCAACCTTTTTTCTCATGCAGGTAAATCTCAAGTTACTCAACCAACCATCTCCACTAAGGTATATCGTTTTGGATAAAAGAGGAAAGATGTCTATTCAAACTACACATTTAATTACCAAATACCAATAGATAGCGTTCAATAACCATATGGTTTAATTGCTACACCAAATGGACTCATCGGTCCTACTTATCAGGGTCCCAGGAGCTACACAAAAGCTGAGGTTGCTTTGCATAGCACGAGGAAAGACTGTTGGATCATTGTAAAAGATAAGGTTCAAACTGATGTCATTTGAAATTTAAGATATTCA